ATATATGTAGAGGGTGTTACATCCGTAGTCAGACTGATGTTCAGTAATATATGTAGAGGGTGTTACATCCGTAGTCAGACTGATGTTCAGTAATACTTTAGAGGATGTTACACCTGTAGTCAGACTGATGTTTAGTAATATCTCTAGAGGATGTTACACCTGTAGTCAGACTGATGTTTAGTAATATATGTAGAGGGTGTTACATCCGTAGTCAGACTGATGTTCAGTAATACTTCTAGAGGATGTAACACCTGTAGTCAGACTGATGTTCAGTAATACTTCTAGAGGATGTTACACATGTAGTCAGACTGATGTTTAGTAATATCTCTAGAGGATGTTACACCTGTAGTCAGGCTGATGTTTAGTAATATATGTAGAGGGTGTTACATCCGTAGTCAGACTGATGTTTAGTAATACTTCTAGAGAATGTTACACCTGTAGTCAGACTGATGTTTAGTAATATTTCTAGAGGGTGTTACAGCTGTAGTCAGACTGATGTTTAGTAATATCTCTAGAGGATGTTACACCTGTAGTCAGGCTGATGTTTAGTAATATCTCTAGAGGATGTTACACCTGTAGTCAGACTGATGTTTAGTAATACTTCTAGAGAATGTTACACCTGTAGTCAGACTGATGTTTAGTAATATTTCTAGAGGGTGTTACAGCTGTACTCAGACTGATGTTAATACTGTTTCATAATTATCGATTGAATGTAACAGATCGCCAGCTGCTGATGTGGAGCAGTGTATATTAATGGCTCAATTTATTCTGCGAACTTGTTTTTGAAGCCGAAACGAAATTACCATTTCGTGTAGCTGTTCGGGACAGTTACGACTTCAATATACAACTTTAAACGTCGTAAAATTTGTTCATGTTCGCCGCCTATCTAATAATAATAATAACCTGTCTCGTCCACTGTACTGTATTTCGGTTACAGGTGAGGATAAAGAAAAAGCAAAAACACTAGGCTCGCATCAAATAGCATACAACTTTTTCCTAACTAAATAAGGAAAAAAAAAAACCCATCATCGCCATCGTTCCAGTTTTGTTTCTGATCGTGATAATTACGCCAGTAATCAAGTTAACGACGTCAGCTATCAAATCATGGTTGAATTTCCTGTATCTTCTGAAACAACGTAATACTTCCTTACTCGACGTTTTGGATGTCTGAAACTTTCTAAATGCTTGTAATGTAATACTCGCCAAATGACTTGAGTCACAATACCCCTCCTCTCTCTCTCTCGGGGGGTCATTCTTTTAGAGCTCTTCGCTTGTTAAGTTGGAATTTTAGTTATCTCAAGAGCTTATTAGGCTTAGGCATCCCTCCCCCCTCTTTCCTGCGTTGTCAAGTGTACCAGGTGGTTTGAAATTAATGTTCGTATAGAGGGATTGTGTATAACATTTTATCATTATAACCTCAACTAACTTTTATGACAGTGTACGTGGGGTAAATATATTTTACTATCTACAGTCTACTTAAGTTTATTATCAGTTTGCGTTAAGTCTAGTTATTTTATACGTGTACAAACGTTTGTTGTTAGTTTGATCAAAAGAGCAGGTAGTTTGTATTAACACGCATACCGAACACGCCGAATCGCGTTTTTTTGGTTTTTTTTAACCTTAATTCTTTAGGAATTAACGTGCCACCACCAGCTGTAAAATCAGAATCAAATATAGTTTACGTTCACTGCTGAGCTGAATAGCAATAAAACGTAATCTACGAATATCGTGTACAAATATATTATTATCTACCGGCGACGATATTTCGTCGTTAAGATGAAGGCATGACGTTCGGTATTCTACCTTTAAATATATATATTGTTCACCTTATCACAGTAAAAACAACAACGACAACTGAACTGTATAAATTAATCCTACTGGGTTAACGGATGAAAATGGCAACTATATAAAACAAGGGAGTTTTAATAGCGTTAACGAAAACTTTGGTTTGGTTTGTCGTTAAGCGCAAAGCTGTCTGCTTTGCCCACCGAAATCCGATTTTTAGTGTTATAAGCTTATAGACTTACCTCTGAGCCATTGGAGGGCTTTATCAAGCTACGGAGACATTGTACTTTTATTGTTAAGTGTTGTTAAAAGAACATTAACACTTAAGAGTTAATGACTTTATAATTATACATCATAATTGATGAAGGAAGACCGTACGTACATTTTTAATCAGCAAATGTTCGCTAGCTTTTAATAGTTAACTACTATCTACAACTCTATTTCAACTGATTGCTCGGCCAGAAATGGAGGTCTGTTGTTGGTTGTTGTCTGTTTAAATTTTGTAGTTCCTGTGAAACTATGCTAAACTACGAAATTCAAATCATGCAGTTAGCGAACTACTTAAACCAAATCACCTCCGATGTTGACTTCAAATTTTGTTTGTTCGTTTGTGAGCAAAGCCACATTGAGCTATCTGCTGTGTTCGCTGCGGGAGATCGAACCCCGGATTTTTACAATACGAGTCCATAAACTTACCGCCGTTCCATCAGAGAACGTCAAAACTTAAAGATTAAGATGACGTGGGCATTAAATAAGAATGAATTATTAGTACAAATTGTTTTCTAAATTGGCTCCACTGTGTAAACCAGTAGAGGAAGATAAAGAAGAACAGACATGAGAACTGAACTTGATTCGTACATGAAAAGAGGGTACATTTCGTGTTTTCCTTAACTTTGCTTTAATCCTAATATAAATAACATTATTTTTCAGTAAAATTATCACTTTATCCCTTGTAGTTGCAAATAAAGTAGGCTTAGAGGAAGTTTCAGCTTGCCTAAGAAGCATTCCTTTATAACTAACTCTACAGATCACTGTCACGTGATTACAGCTTCTAAAACATCTATCTGCATTGGGGGAGGGGGTGAGTGACTTCGCTTTGAAGCAGCAAATTGAGGCCAAAGTGACCAACATAGGCATTTGGCAAACAGGACGACCAGTTGGTCTCAAATTGAAAAGGCCGGATTTGTTTTTTTATTGCTGTTATTTACGTTTCTTCTCTGTGTGAGGATTTCTCCTAATCATTCTATCCATGATCAATTGTGTTAAAATGACTTAAAACTTTATGGAGCCTTCATTTTTCCCTCTTTCACTTCTTCTATTTTTATTCTACACGTACATGCTTCAGCCATGTCTTTTGCTTTGCTTGCGTGTACTCGCAAGAATCAGCTATATGATGACTTTACAAAAACGTTTGATATCGCAAATTTTCATTTACGTTGTGTTGCAACGAGAAAAGAATAAGTCAATTCTTCATTAAATAGAACGATAATAAAGTCTGAATACGCTGCAAACGACACTTGACCACACAGCAGAAATCAGGACACAAAAAAGGTAGGGAATTTTGTTTTGGAAAACTTGAAATGTCAGGGAAGGCACACGCGAGAAGCAGGAGCAATGTACCCAGTTTTGTTTATATTAAAATAGCTGTAGTAAATTTATATTATTTTCGTACATTGTTATTTTTATTGCTTTTAATCAAAATATTTAGTTAGGAGAAATCGTTTTTTTTTGTTGTTGTTGTAATATTCACGATTAATATAGTTGATTTAATCAAAACAACTTGGGGTACTTGAAGCCATTTTCATCTGAGCAACACTGCTTGAAGCCATTTTCATCTGAGCAACACTGCTAGTTCTATTATATATATCAAACTAGCAATTTGTATATATATATATATATATTGCTGAACCATGAAACTATGAAAGCCATTTTCATCTGAGCAACACTGCTAGTTGTATTATATATATACCAAACTAACAATTTGTATACAACCATGAACCATGAAAGCAACTTTTATTGATATACTGAAGAAAATACAGTTTTTACAAGCTTTTTTAATGACATAAGTTACACATATGTATAATTTTCACGGGGGACATATCCCCACACTTCTTTTTTTTTTCCTGGAATATTCTCATGCATACCCCAGCTGCTAATGCTGTTTCCCACCCTTCTCACACATACAACAACGTTTTTGAAACCAAAGTTACGCCAAGAAGCAAAACCTGAAACATTAACCCATCACTGAAAACAAGATATTTTATTCTTTGGCTAGACCATTTGTTGTTGTTGTTTTTCTTAGGTTTAGTGGTTGTCAATCACGAGTCTTGTTAACGAGTTTACATTTTGTAAGTACGTGTTTATGTAATAAATAACTTTTCGTGCATAAGAAGACTAAAATATAAACGACATCACAAGATAAATTGTTTATTTTTCTGACTTCTTTTACTTCACTGAAATTTCTAACACAAAATTGAAATGAGTGTTCAATTCAAACCAGTTGTTAATAAGGATAAAACAAACACGTATGAGAAATACGATTCTTTATTTCTATTGAGGGGAGGAAGGGGGATTAGGCCTAGGTCTTGCGAAGCGTTTACAGCTGGCCATATGGTTGTGTCTCTGATGCTCATTGTCCCTGAACTTTCTTCTTACAGCTAGGACCGTTATCATGCTCTCCATCTTAAAGGAATCAGTGCTAAAGTATGCATGAAGACGCACTTGAATGAGTTGGTTCCTTCTCAAGTTGCTAACCTTGGAACGAGAGAGAAAATATACATTAAAAGGAGTCTATCATTTCTGTCATTTGAAAACTTGATTTATAATAAGAAGTGATAAATGAGAACTATCTATAGTGGACAGACACGTATAAAGTCATGAAGATACTTAACAATATAATTTGCCCCATCCCCGGGGGGGCTCAATAGTTTCTTTGTTTTATTGTAGCTCAAGTTACATAATAGTCTGTCACAGGGAATCGAATCGGATTTTAGTGTTGTAAGTCTGTAAACTTACCGCTCACCCACTGGGGGTAAGCTTGAGGGCTTATAATAATATCATTCTGGGTTCGATTCATGCGACGAGCACAGCATAAATAGCCTATTGAAAGATTTGTGCTTAAAACGGTATGATTTATACAGGAAAGCGTTAAAATATTGATATCCACTCAAAAGCAAATTGCTCTTGTATTCAACGAGGCCAACTTAAAAAGAAAAATTGGATTTTTTTTTCCTCAAGGAGACTCTCATCCTGTTTCGCAAAGATAATACTATTTATTTATTGTGTATGCTGGATAAAAACGTTTTGATTGGGTTTGTTGGTTTGGAAAGCACAAAGCTACACAATGGGCTTTCCGCCCTCTGCCCACCGCGAGTATGAACCTGATAATTAGCGTTATAAGACCTCATACCGCTGAATGTAAAAACAAAAAATCAGATCTAATGTTTTTATAGTCTCTCCTGCAAGAAACTAGGTAAAAAAAAACAGGTCCTTTGTATAAGCTTTAGTTGATCAGAAGTTTTTTATAAAATACCGTCGCTCTGTTTGTTAATAAAATACTCCTGTTTTGTGGAAAGGTTTGAGACAAGTTCCGCTAGATTTTTCTTAAGGCTACCATGATTAATAAGCTCGTTACACACAGTTAACTCTACACAGGTGAAATTTAAAATCAGTCATCTGGAGGAAAAGCATCTAATTTAAAGTCGTTTTGTGTCAAGTACAACCACCTGTCTCGAATATCAGAGGGCGCTGGCTATACCCTCGTGGAACGCGATCTTTTGGAATTGCAATGAGACTGGCAGGTGAAAAGAATGATGAATTATGTTTTAATAAGAGCCTAACCTACGTCGCCACTGAACTTCATCTACCCCGGAATTAGAAGACTCGGTATTTGGGGGTCCTTTGTATTCTTCTTTTATTTTTTGTTCTTTGTATAACGAGTTTTATAGTACGGCTCTCGTGTATCTGTTTTATTGTGATTTAGTTTATAGAAATCCATCCGTGTAATTGTTAGAACAATGCACAAGTAACCCTTTTGTTTTCTTACTACGAGTCTCCTGGTGGAAGTCTACAAACTTACAACGCTAAAATTCAGGGTTCGACTTCCTGTGGTTTGATTCTAAAAGATACAAACAAATCTGTCTATGAAAAACTAACCTATGTCATGGTGTAAATGTAATAATGTTTGGATTTGTTCTCGGTTCTGTTAGGACTAAATAATGTACACCTCTTTAGACATTGTAGATAAAAAACACTCAAACATGATAACAATCTTCATCAACTCCTAATTATAGTTTGAAAACATACTTATTGGGCATTAATTGTGCTCGTAATTGATAACATTTATATCATTTCGGTTTTACTACTTAATCTAATCCACATAGTCGTTCTCACTGTTCTTGAAAATGGACATAATACAGAGTTTTAAAAAAGATAAATATTTCGTTTCCCAATTCGTAGTTGGTTTAATTGCTTTTTAAAATCAAAGTTTTACTTTATGCACAGTTTTTTATTGTTATATCCATATTAGCAAATTGTAGTTGACGTTTCAGCATTAAATTAATCCTCAGATTACGTCAGGGGGCCACTTATTGCATCGTGTTGAGCAATTTCACGATTCTACTTACTGTAGCATAAAAGAACGGTACAAAATTAAGACTGCAACGCTTCTACATAGCTGTTCTTAATGTGAGTAGAGCCACATTAAGCCTAATGGTTAGCACGACGCCAAATGAATTTGTGGGTCCAGTGTTCGCGTCCCGTTGCCGCTGAAAGCAAAATTGCGTTCCACAATTTAGAACTATGAGTGTGTCATAAGGGTAACGATAAAATCCCAGTATTTAGTCAGATAAGAGATGGCGGCTGGTGCCATTGACTGTTTGCTGCTTCTCCATCATACTTTTTCCAAATTAGGGACGGCTAGCGCAAGTAGCTTTTGTTCAGCCTTGCACAAATATCCGAAAATCAAAAAAAATTATTGTGACTAAGATCAATATATTTTCCAGTTGTAAGTTTGGTTTCGTTCAAAAGAAAATACAATCCAACAGAGCCATACCCTTTTAAAAACACGATTATTGGAACCAACATTGAGGATACAGGTATATAATTCTGTTACTTAGTGTCGATAAAAAAAAAAATTGTTTGCCAATTTCATGACAGTTTTGTTTAAAAACTGTTCTTTTTTTTGGGGGGGGGGTGAATGATATACGTATGTGAAATTAATATTTTTGTTGAAATGGGATAGATATCCAGTAACAACAACAACAAATATAAAAATACAATATATATGTGTGTATGTATATATATTTAAGGTTAATTAATATTAAAAAAAAAGAACTTAAACGTGTCTGTAGTTTTTTTGTGTTCCATTTTTTTCACGCATTATGTGGTTTAGTTGTTTGCCTAGAATTAGGTATTCGTATCTAACACCATACATTTAAGACTAACACAAAACTCCCTGGATTATCATTATCCATTCCGTTCTATCTCACATTTTATTAGTTGCTAATGTTTGGCGAACTCATTAGGCCTAACCTCACAAATAAATAACATCTAAATAGAAATTTCACGGGCTTGATAATTTCGTAACTCTTGTAAGTCGTCGCCAACACAAACTCAACATTTACAGCACAGTCAGTACTGAATTAATTAACTGGCTGACAGCAAACATAAACTAACTAACTCATGCACTGATTACTCGTAAACTGAGTAATAAACTCACTGAAATAATAACTTACTACTTAGGAATCAATGTAAGTTACTAAAAGACTAAAAAATTGACCATATTTTCTGCTAGCCTAACTCGCGCCTTACATTGTTCTAAAATTTCGGAGAATAATCCGAACATTAAGCCACGGGATCATTCACTTGATGCTAAACTTCCCTCTGACCAAAGAACAATACAAACTTCTAAATCAAGAACATGGTCTACAACATAATTTATATGCACCCAAACACAGCAGTATAACAGAGAAATCACTGGTCCAGGTTACTGTCTTCCAATCAGTCTTTTACCAGACATTTATATAAATATTTGGGAAAAATCCGTCAATAAATTCTGAAACCACAGCGAAGACAAGAATATACACAAAACGAAATTCAGCCTAGTACATCATGATGTAACATAACACGAGATATTTGACCAGAGGAAATACATAGACATAATTTTTTTTAGTTACTTCAGAAACTGGTGGTGTACTGTTTATTTTGTAATTCGTTCACGGTAAGAGATACGAAGGATTCTGCGCAGACGCCACTAGTTAAAACTGTCCTGTTTCCTTAGCATGGTAACCGTTCAAGTTTCTCATTCATAGAGCAAGATTGGCATTTCCAGCATAGCTTGGTATGTAAGGTGACACTTGACTTCCAGATGCTACGTTGTCAGTTGTCCAAAGCCGCGATTGATCGCCAACCCATTGCTACCTGTGAAATGTTGCTGACAGCCGAATTAGGTGAACGAGTCAATAATTTTGACATTGTTGCCTGCTGATTTGAGATTGTTGAGTGCATAGCTTGGATATTATCTGAAACTTCATTTAGAAGCGGCTAATCTCGAGACCAAAATTAGAGATCTCTTTCTTGATACCGAGGGATAACAGCAGTGTCTCGAGCATTTTGGATAAGAGTGTTCCACCATCAGCATAATTCGGATCAGTAAATAACTGGTCGCCAAAGGTGTTACCTAGGGGATCTCTGTGCCTCGTGCGTTTAAGTATCCAGTCCATGGGAAAAAGGAATATGTTCGGAACGATTTGGATCCTGGAGATCTCAAAATCGCGAATCCCCGTCCAACCAAACATGCTCGCCCTTTCAGCCGTGGGGGTGTTATAATGTGACGGTCAATCCCCCTATTCGTTGGT